ATATCCGCGCACAGCGANAGCGACGCCGACGCTAACTAATTATATTATTATATATATATATATATATATATATATATATATATATATATAAAGTTTTATGCTCATATGGAGCCTGACCCTGCCCAACCCAAATATTTTCAATCCGGGCTAGGCTAGGGCCAAAATACTATGGGCTCAGGCCAGCCCCCGTTCACACCCCAATGGGCCCGGGCTGGGCCCCCACACCTATTACACAGTTTCAGGCCGAGCCCAATCTGGTGCATCCCTACACTTGAATGATTTGGGGTATAAACAGCTTCATCTTGCCATTGCACGGTATGCCTATATCTTATAGCACCAGAAGTATGTTGATATCCATAACTGTTGAGATCACATTTTCAACATAGTTGGGGACAGTTTTTTAGAAACGAATGTTGTATCAAGAACTCATATTCAAGGCAGTGCTCCAGAAACTGCTTCTAGCACCAACTAGCAAATAGCCAAGGTTGGGTTTCGTAATAGAACTTTAGTGAATGGGAAGACAATACAGCTAAGGTTTCCATTATGATCAACTAGGAACTGTTGACAAGTGCTTTCTCATATGGCATACAATGAAGCAACTATTCATAACACCATTCCATTCCTAGTTCATACAACATAAATGGAAAGAGGGCCTCTTTCTATCTCTATTGTACTTTCCACAACAAAATGTGGGCCCCATCATCTTAGGTTTCTGAAAGAGTGCCACTAGCACATGAAGCCTGATATATCCAACCAAGGTTTAGAAAAACGGATCGATGACCCAGATCCGCCACCAAAAAAATTGTATCAGCTCAGTGGATCGACTATCCGGCATTAAAAAAATTTCAAAAAATCACTAAAATTGCTTAAAAATCTAGGTTTTTAGGTTTCAAAAAAAAATAATAGTATTGCATTATAACTTTTTATTATTTTACTAAAAATACATAAATACTCAGAGCTTGTCTCATGTCTGAGTGTTTGTCATCCATTATATTCATTTCATGGTCAAAATAAGATTTAAATACAGCTCATTGCAATAAAATAGATATCTTTAACTCAAACTTTTATAATAAAAAAAAAGAAACTGTACAAAAATAAATTTTTATAGTAAAAAATTTTCTTTTCAAAATGTTCTTCGAACAATTAATTGTTGGGCCTTTCAAAAAATAAAAAATTCATATTTTAATGTGTTGTGGGTTTACATAGGTTTTTCGCTTAATATGAAAAAATAATATTTTACCCAAGAGACCTATTGGTTTACATAAGTTTTTCGTCACTCTACATAGTCTCTTAATCAAAGAGCATTGTGTAAAAGTGGCAAAAAAACCCAAAGAAAATAGTCCCACATCGGGACTTCAAGGATGAAAAAATGGGTTTAAAAGCTCCATTCGCCATTTCAAAAGCCATAGAGAGTTGAAAATGGTGTGGCCACGCATGGAGTGTTTGCTAAGCCATGTTGGACATGACGTCATGTGCATTAATGATTGGTGCACGTTGGATGTGATGTCATGTGCATTAATGATTGGTGCATGTTGGATGCGATGTCATGTGCATTAAAGATTGCCGGGCACCAGACATGTGGGTAGTGAAGCTACATCAATATCAAATTTTGGTGGGCTGGGACAGCTCTATCTTTTATTTAAAAAAATTTGAGATTTGCAAATCAAAAGAATCGGAAAAAAAGTGAAAAAGCACCAGTTCACTCAAGAACTGTCCGCTTCTCTATTAGAGGACTGGTACAGACCAATATGAACCGCTCGGTTCAAGAGGGACTCGGTCGGATCCCGATATATTACAGGATTTGGATCGCCCAAGACGATTTCCAATACGAATCGAGTAAGTTCGATCTGGATCGACAATTTTTTAAACATTGTATCCGACCAACACTTAAATAGATAATGTGCACATCGTACACAGCTGCCCAATTCCATCAAGCCATTGTTTTTCATAATATTATTCATAGTTACCGGGAGCAAGAACAGGAGCAGGAACGGCTCTGGTTCCGGGAGAGGAAGCGTCGGATCAATGGCTACCCAAAGCTCGGGAGCTCGAGGAGAAAGACTCAGTCAGGGTAAAAGTTGCGGATCGAGATCCCATATGAAGAGGGACTGCATTCCCAATACAACATGATCTAGATCCTTACTTAACAGATACACGGTCCTGTACAATAGGATCGCACTCCCATGAACAACAGAAACGAGATCCCATTTGAAGTTGAGTGTTGCCCCCATATAAGAAGGACCGCATTCCTAGTTGGAAAGGATCGAGCTCCATTCAAGGACGGATCGCATTCTGTGCATGATTGTCCACGCTCCCATCGCAAAACTTCACTTGTATCAAGAACCAAATTCCATTACACATGGATTCATGCTCCCACTAAGCATGGCAGCCTGTTCCCATATAAACGCGATCTTGTTTTGGTTTACTCTAGAAACCATTGTCCTATGTAGCAATGGCCCATGGGACTAGATCAACGCACAAGCAATCCTAGATGCCCATGGATTAATTAAATTCCATTAATCTTGTATGAACTCTTTCAATGCTTTATATAATTATATTCTTGAAACGGTTAATGCTAGTATTGTTCAAAATCTCAAACATGATACGTATATAGGCATCACGTCAGCCATTTGTGTACTTAGAAATATATTGCCCTTGCATGTGAAACAAATTACTAGCATAATACATTACCAACATAATATATTACTTGAAAATGAAATGTTGTTGTTTGGGCACCATCTGGATACAACTTGGGCATGTATTGCTACTGTTTGGCTACGTCCGTAAGAAATTTGGGAAATGCATTACCGCTATTTTAGGTTGGAAATACTGCATGAAAATTTGTCTTAAAATACAATTCTTTTACTTTAAAAGTTAAATTTATTTAAGAAGTTTCTTTTAGGAAGTTATAAATTGGTAAAATAATTTTATTTAAAATTATAAAAAATTTCGGGTCACTTCCTTATAAGGATGGTAAGGATGGAGTTCCATGAACACAGGGATTACGCTCCTAAAATTCGGGGATCGAGGATCTTATTTGTTCGGATCTACAATCTTCAAGAACGTGCACCATGCGATGGTGGGATCGAGATCCTTTGTTCATAGGATCGAGAACCTTATAATTGGGAGCGAGATCCCGAAAAAATATAAATCAAGTTTCGGTTGTGATCCCAATCACGGAACGTCAGAGCTAGATTTCGCAGCGGGAGTGCTACCCGGTTGGGACGCTCCTGGTAAATATGGTATAATTTTTTAAATATAGATTTCTACCCATTTGATGCAAAAGGGAACAAACAAAGAGAAGGCTAAATCTACATAAACGTCTTTCGTTAAAACAACAAACCCTAGGAACAACAAGTTGTCTGTCACAAAAGAAAACATGTTAAATTTCACGAATAGTTTCTCCTTGCTAAGTGAAAGCTGGCAATGTAGTTCTAGCCAAGTATAAACCATTGAACATTTTCATTTTATTTTATTTATGCAGGCAAGACCACTTACAAATGCCTATTAAAACTAAAAATTATAAAACAAAATCCTAATATAATCTAGGATCCGTACTTGCATGCCATAAAATACTTTTATTAAAAAAATCAAGACACAATGTACAAGAATGAATCAAGAAATGTACAAGCAAAAATTTCCACATTATCTTGCCTTGGATCACCTCCAAGGACCTAGCACACCCCACTGCGGATCTCCACCACCGATAGTGCACATGATCTAGGTCCTTTTATCTAATCTCTTGGACAGGAAGCCAAAGCAAAATCCTAATTTAAACTACAAGAGGTAAAACCAAGTCTAACTTTCAATCTCAGCAAAATATAAGATAGGGTAACCTTTTTCATAGACTACAAGCTTGGAGTATGGCAGTATCCCTACCCCTTGGACCTTCCTTGGGCCATGGCAACCCTTTTTCTAGACTTTAGAGAGAGGGAAAGAGAAGAGAATGATAAAAGAGAGTGGCATGGAGGCTAAAGAGAGGCCTAGCATGTAGCGAAGACGCCACACAAAGGGAGTATTTATAGAACAAAATTGGGGTTTGAGGAGCTAGGGTTTTCCATCGTTAGAGATTCAATCCTAACAGCCGTTCCAAGGAGATTTGTGGGGCAAAGAGAGGCTGTCAATCTCAACCATCCTTTCCTTAAAATAGTCATCATGATTAAATGGAAGGTTCTAGAACCCTTATCCCTCAGTTTTCTTCACTCATTCCCTCTAAATATCTGATTTTTAGAAAAATATAGTATACATTTCCTAAAATCTAAAGTTATGGAACAGCATACTTAGATCCTCAAAAACATCCCTTTCTCTCCCTAATCACATCTCAATCAAATAATCTCATAATATCTTGTCCTCTTCTAGAATTCTTGACCTTTAAGAAAGAAAAAGCTAGAGAGAGAGAGAGAGAGAGGGGTGGGGTGTGGATGACAAAGGGGACCCCTTGTGGGCCCCAATCAACCCCCACTTCTCCCAAACCAAAAAAAATCTCAATGATTCCAAGGAGCAGAGTACATAATTCCTGGATTTTGCAGGTTCTCAAAGAACACCCTCTCAATGATGAGTCCATAACTCCCAAGTTTCACATAATCTTCATTGAAATTTTGCAGGGTAATATTTCCCTTAAAACGACAAAAAAAAGGAAAAAGTATGATTTGCACAAGAAAAATACCTCATCCAATTCAATCCTCCAAAACAACACAAATACCCTAATCTAAGAATTTCTTTTCAGTGTAGAAATCAGGCGAATAACTCTTGCAAAGCTCCGTAGCTTACACACAATATCATTAGCTTCGAAGTTTCTGATTTAAAACAAAAAAAAAGCATAACTAATTAAAAATATGGCAACAAGAGATCTCCGCTCTGCTACCAATGAAAGGTGGACAATGCGATCTAGCCCGGTATATACAGTTAACATTTTCTTACTTTCTTTTATTCATACCGGAACACCTCTAGACAGTGTTTTAAAAAGCGGACCGCCCAGTGCCTGGGCGGCCTCTGAAGCAGTCCAGAAGGCCTAGGCGATTAACCAAGCCTAAGCGGCCAAATTAAGAGGATATCCTTGGGCTTGCACTCTGCCCAGTGGCAGAAATACGGCTCCTTGAGGGTATTTTTGGGTCATTTTTTTAATACTAAAGGGGAAAAATTGAGGGTTTTAGGTTCACTAGAAACCTAAAACCCATTAGAGGATATTTTAGAGAGAGAAAACCCCAAAAAAACAAAATTCTACTGGGCCGCCCAGGTTCTGGGCGCCAGCCTAGGCGCTGGGCAGCCTGGACCCCCCCTACCGCCTAGGTGCCGTCTAGAGGTTTTTGAAACACTACTTCTAGATGTATGAAATAACAACTTTAATTCAAAATAAAACCCTAATACAATCTAGGATCATCACTTGCATGCGACAAAAAGGACTCGTTTATTCATACAAAAATCAAGATACCATGTAGAAGAGTGAATCATGAAACTTGGAACCACAAAACAGATTACCTTGCCAAGGGCTACTCTAAAGACCTATTACACCCCACATTGGATCTCCTCCACCTATGATGCACAGGATCTAGGTCATCAACTCTATCTCACAATTTGCGAAGCCTCAAAATATGAAAGTATATACCAAGCCATGGGATAGGGATCTCTCTAAAATCTAAGGTCAACAAAACTAGGGTGTGCCACCCCTTTATATGCCTAGGACATGGAACCCTTCTTTTCTTAGTTTCAAAACCCTAGATAGAGATGAATTGGAAAGGGAGAGAGAATGGCACGTGCAGCCCTAGGGAGGAAAGAGAGAGAGAGAAAGAGAGAGAGAGAGATATCTAGAGAAGAGGTGCATTGATCCCATCCCCCAGAGGGTACATTTATAGTGTTAAATTAGGGTTTTTGGGATCTAGGGTTTTATAGATTACAGTTAGGGCATCTATCTACAACCTTTACACTAGCAAGCACCTTCTTAAATGCTGTATATTTCACAAAGTATGCAATCAAATCTCAATGAGACTTGTTGACCAAGCTAACTATTGTACTAAGTCCCAATACTATATGATTAATGACCTCAACTAAAAATGAGAAACATAACTAAACTACCCCCAAAATTTATTGAAATGCCTTAACAGCCCCATAATTCAAGCAAAACTGAAAAGACCAAAATACCCCTGAATGTGAATATATCCCCTTTAGCACTATATCAAAAGCCCTCCGGTACAAAATGAGTTTTACAACTCCTTCGCCTGTTTGTCTATACTGCAACAATCAGCCACACCTATTGATTCTAACCGTCTTTTATGAGTGAAACACAACACAGAGCCATAGACTGCCAATTTGTTCATAAAGTCATTGCCAAGATTACCTTAATTCCTTATATGAAAACTGAGGATCAACTAGCTGTTGTTATTACCAATGCTACAAGGAATAGTCACAAAAAGAATATTATGTCCAAGTAGGGCATGATTGACATTGACAAACCAACTTGAGGAGTCTTCAAGATAATACATGATATTGTATACAGCCACGGAATATAACTGTCCTTATTTCATTATTTTGTATTGCTAGTACAATACTTTCCATTATTTTTGTAAAAACTATATATAAGAGAACGTAACACAATGTGGTCTTCATGATCTACTTTCAAAATCCATGTTCTACTCTCTGTTCTTTCCTGCATCACTAGCACTAAATCCTGGTATTTCAGACAATGTAGGGTTCTACACATCCCTTTCAAGCTTCAAAAGAATTTATGATTAATTGAAACGGCATATTATTAAAAGGCTTTCATAACATTCGTGATTTTTCTTAATAACTATTAAAATTTATGATTACCTCCATGCATCAAGGAATACAGATCCTGCTTCTGGAGAAGTAATAATAACCCAATCAAATGTATTATCTGCTAAGAAAGAAAGAAGAATTAAAAATCATTCCATCATAGAGAATCCAAACATATTTGGTAATGATTGCATCCGCAATGTGTACCATGTATCATATTATAATGGAGAAAGGATAAGCTGATATGACTGCTGTAGTCATTCTTGCATTCTTGTTTGAATGGGATGAATGGAACTAAAAAACATGGAGAATGATCATGATACATAAGCTAGAGTTCAGCCCGATAATTTCCAGTCTTTATGCATGCACGAAGATAGTTGTTCAACAATTTCTTATGGTATCATTCATTATGCATGCGTGAAGGAAATTGATCTAGCCATCTTTCTTAGGGTTTAATCATCCAAGGCGCAGCAACTTGATCACCCGTTCAACCATTTCTTATGGTATCATATATATATATATATATATATATATA